CCTACAGCCATGCATGTAATGATGATTAAAGATTCTGAAGACAGGGACTTTGACTTGCTCACCCATGTGTCCACAGGGCCTATCATAGTGCCCTATACACAGTAGGTGCTCCGTGAATATTTGCTGAACGAAATAATGCTCTGCAAGATCATAAAATAACATAAATCATCTAATAAAGATTATACTACGGTCAGTAGAGTTTAAGCATCAGATGTATTTATTCTAGTTATTTAGAAAATTGATAATCAGTATATGGTATACCCCAATGTTTAGGTCTGATCACGCAATTCCAATATGTGTGTGGGCGGGGGGAGAAGGGGTGTCCCTCCACTCCAAAAAGCAATTCTCAGACCAGACACCAGCTATGGTGTCTTACAATGTAACTCAATTCTGAAAAGTACCCAGACAGCATCAGATCGCTCCACACTTCCCTATACTTCACACGCCAGTCCCAAGTCCTCATGACCATCTGTACTTCTGACCACACGACTGCCAACTGGAGGATGCAGAGACCCCCACCTTGAGTTTCAGCCTCCAGACACAAGTCCACAGCTTCCTCCTCAGCTTCTATTAATTTGCTAGAGCCACTCACAGGACTCAGAGAAACATTTTCCTAGCTTACTGGTACACCATAAAAGGATTAAACACAGAAACAGCTGGATGGAGGAGCACCACAGGGCATGGTCTGGGGTAAGGGCCCGGAGCTTCCGTGTCCTCTCCAGGTGCACCACTCTCCCCAAATTTCCACATGTTCACCAACCTGGAAGGTCTACCAAACCCTGTCCTTTTGGGTTTTTATGGAGGCTTCGTTAGAGGTAGGACTGATTAATTCACTGGCCAATGGTGATAGAACTCAATCTTCAGGCCCTCTACTCTCCCCCAGAGGGTGGGCCTCAAAGTTCCAACCCTCTGATCACAAGGTTGGATCCCCAGGCAACCAGTCCCCCCAGCCAGAGGGGCTTTCCAAAAGTCACTTCATTAACATAAAAAAGACACTTTTATTGCTTTTATCACAGGAAATTCCTAGGATTTTAGGAGCTCTGTGCCAGAAACAGGGACAGAGACCAAATGTGTGTATACTTATAAGGTTTGTGTGCATGCAAAAATACTGCAATACACACACCTGAATAAATGTCTAAACATAATAAAATGAACTCATCAATATCTTCCAGGCTCAAAAAAAAATTTTTTTTCCAGGCTCAGCAATGTCAGGCCAAGGGTTTTAGTAAAATGAAGGGGGGGGGGGGGGGACGGATGACAACAAAAGCTTAATTACCTTGATAACTGAAGGAGGAAACCGAGAACCTTCTTGCTCCAAAAAGAAAAAAAAAAAAAAAAAAAGGAAGGAAAGAAGGAAACCGAACAGCAATTCCGGAATTATTTTATTTACTGCCTCCAAAATTGCTTCACTGGACTGGCCTTGCCTTGGACTCAAAGTAATAAATTAGCTACTGATATCACTATTTTTAATATTTTTGGTCTGATTCTGAATTTTCATTCCACCTTATGCAGTCTAATTGCTTTCCAGTGCTGGGCTTCTTTGATCCGACGACATTTTCTGTGATATTACTATAAGCTGTATGTTTCATGGAACCAAAGCAGTTTGAGAGCTTCTAGAATCAGAGACAAATGTTTTCCAGTATTTCACACTCACAATTTAAGCTTTCATTTATCAATGACCTAGAAATCCATGCCTGTTTAATATCACTCTGATAAGCTAAATTGACGGTATCTACTTGGCCAACTCCCCTGAATCTACTTTATCAAGGAATGTATTATTTGAATCTTTAGCATGAAATAATGTCAAAAAGGTCTGGGGTCAGGGCGCCTGGCTGGCTCAGTTGGTGGGTGCATGCCACAGTTGATCTTGGGAGTTGTGAGTTGGAGCCCCACGTTGGGTGTGAAAATTATGTAAAAATAACATCTTTTAAAAATGGGGGTGGTTAACGCTCGTTATTTAAACTCTCATTAAGCCTTTAAACCCATGTGAAAATGCTACTGTAATCCTAGGAATTTTATGAAGAGCAAAAGGATAACATAAAAGTCCCTGACCCCCTAAGTCTCAACTAGTCCAGACTTCCAATTAGACATGTCTTTAAAGGAAATAAGTTGTAGAGACAAAGCTACTATTTTTTATTATATTTATGGAAAATGGAGATACTGACTGGGAACGGATGGCACTTTTATTATACTCAGATACCCAACTCTTAAATCTTTTAAGACACCCCCTCCATGCCTAAACCCTAAGATCCCACACCAAATCCACCAAATTTCTACCTCGAAACTGTCAACCAAATTTCTACCTCGAAACTGTCAAAAGGAAAGTCATAATTCATCAGGGAAAATAAAAGAAGTCGATTATGAATGGCAATGAAGTCAAGGCCATATCTTTAAGAAATACAATGAAGTGCTATTTCTTTTAGCTTGAAATTGGAGAACCTGAGGAAATAAATGGTATTTTTAAGACGATTCAGCAAACACTACTGAGCTGTAGAAGATGACGCTAACTCCCAAGAGGTATTTACTTCCCACCTCAGGTTTAAAATGTAAAGCCCTATGGCAACATGTATCTAGTTTTCAGTGACCAACAACTACAATCAACACAACTGTAATGTGTCATGTTCAAAGTCAATTTTAGACACGGACAGGTAACACACAGAAAACCGCTTAATTTTTAAACAAATTCACAGCCCCACTTCTGAAATATGAAAGCCATCATAAGACAGCACACAACCTGGACCACATCCACATTGCTGTGCAAGTCTCAAAGTCCAACCTGAATCTTGAATTGTAGCCTTCTAGTGGTTTCAATGGGAGTGCTCGTCAAATAATCTCTACCAGGCAAAAGCTGAGGCCAGTGCAGACTTACTGATCTAGGGGAGACAAAATTTGCCCCCTTCCCCAATTCTGAAGTCATTCTTTAGGGGAGTATTTAATAGCATATTTCAAATCCAGTGCAAAGGTTTGCAGATTAATTCCTTGCCCTAGGCCTACAGCTCAGATACAACTCCTGAGAAGCTTCCAGCTTCCCAAGACTTACCATAGTCATGGTTGCGCAGGAAAATGTGAGCAGTCGGGTATTTCAGGCAAACAATGAGGTCAAAGCTCATTTCAGTGTGAGCGTAAGTGATTCTCTGCAGAGATCTTGGTTGGGGATGCAAAGTACTAGCCTCAAACCTGCAGGCCAGCTCCTCACAACTGCTGCAAATTCTACTGCATGCCCTTGCCTCCTGGGCCAGCCCTGCTTAATGACCAGACTCCCATACGATGCAGATCACTCTCAGCGAAAGAAAAGCCAAGGGGGCTTTGAGACCAGCACTGGGGTAGTATGCTCTCAAATGCTCAAATCCTTAAAAAAAAGAACTGGGGATGTCAGCATCTCAATTTTAAGATAATCCATTATGAACCAGAGTCCAGTTGTTTTCGACTATTCGGGTGCCCTGGGAAAAGATTATCCTTCTCTAATTATTACAATTAGCTCTATTTGTCACCTTTCCCTTTTTGTCAGCCCCAAACAACACTCCAGGATCACAAGAATCTATGTGAAATAGAACTATGAAGTACAATGCTTTTTTACCTTCTCAGGCTAAATGTGAGAAACCAATTTTAGTCACTTGCTTTGGCAAAGCATCCAGTACAAGTCAATTCTTACAGATTTCAAGATTCTTGATATGTACAACCTCTTTTGCTCTGTGCCACATGTAATCTCCAATTTCATAAGACAGGTTTCTGGGTGAGGTAAACATTTAGAAAAACATTAACATAGCGCTACTGTGATAATACCCTCAAAAGGGATGTACAATGATTTCTTTTAGCCAGGGTTCATTTGTGAAAGTTTCAAATGCAGAAAAAACTGAGAGCAAATTCATCCGACGCCTGAAAAATGTCAGCAATGCTTTGATAAGGAATAATCACACGAAAAGAGTGAAATAGACTAGTTCTCAAACATATATTTTAATGGGGGTGGGTGAGAGCGCACAGCACTGAACCATTTTTCTGAACGACTGAAAAATCAAAATTTACAGATGAGCCCTTTCCTTCACATCACTGGCAGAAATAAAATCCTATTCCCGCCACCTCATCTTGCAATTAAGGAAGTTGCTACAAATAGCAGCATAGAAGTAAATGGTCCCGGCTTTGCTCCATTCTTAATGTACTCTCTAGGAGTAAACAGGTTACTCAAAAAAGTCAGTAGCTAGAAATCGCTTTTCCCTAATGCCAAACTCCCACGGAAACGCAGTTCCCCTTTTCTGGGGATCTGCAAGCGGGTAAACGTGGACCGAGAAATCCAGCCGGAGCCTGCCTTTTCTCAACGGGCTCGGTGTACCGGGCGTTCGGTGCTCGGTGAGGTTTCAAAACGCCGCGGTGCAGCCTCCTCGCGGTCTCCACATTCACCCAACCCACCCTGACAGCTGCCTTCGCTTTTATTATACCCTAAAGGTGAGCTTCTTAGGCGGGGTCTCCAAAGTTTGCTCGGCCTCTGGTCAGCAGACCCCCCGACTGGCCGATCCCCGGACAACGCCGAGTCCTGCCCTCGCCTCCAGCTCCCTCACTCTCCAGGTCTTTTTTTGGGACACAGTGACAGGTCTAGGTTTACCTCCATGTGCTCGTGGCAGAGGAAACAAAAGAAAGCAACCTCCCTGGTAATAAAACGCCATCTTCGGCTAATTGGCAAACCGAGGGGCCCCTGGACCGGTCCCCCCCCCGCCACGAAACCCACCACCATCCGGGTGGAGGGCGGCCCCCCGTCGGAGACAGAGTTTGCTACACCCCGGGAAGCTCTGGTTAAATTGTCCGGGGGGAGGGGGGATTCCGGGAGCCCTACCTGCCTCCCCACCCCGGCCGCCCGGGCAACGTGGTTCAGTGAAAAATCTAAAAGAGGGTGGTGGTGGTGGCTCCCAGGGATGCAACGATCCCCTCAGAAGACTGCTCCGGGGGACCCAGCGAAGGGCTGGCGAGCAAGCAAACCGCACGCGTGGAGCCGCAGCGAGTGTACTTACAAAACGATTAAAGCTCCGGCGGAACATCGCGACGAAGGCTGCCGGGCGCCGAGCTGGGCTCTACTGGGCGGTCTGGGAAGGTGCCGTCCACAAAACACACTGCGGCGTGGGCCGGCGGCGTGAAGCTGTCCGCGAGGCGGGCGGCCCCGCCACCGCCTGCCCTCCTAGGCTCTCCGCGCTTCCCCCGCCCCCCAGCCGCCCGCGCCCTCGCGTCCTGGCGCCCGCTGCCCCCCCCACCCGCCCCACCGCCCCGCTCCCGCCCCGCCTCACTCACAGCCCGCCCCCGGCCCGCCCGTCCCGGGGGCGGCGGCCCCGCCGCTCCCCCTGGTCTGGCCCCAGCACCGCCGCCCCGCCGCTCCCGCCGCAGCCCGCCGAGAAGGCGAGCCTGGCGCGCGGGGGAGGGAAGGCGGAGGAGCACTAGGCTCCACCCGCGGGGAGGGGGGCGCCCCAATCTCTCCGCCTGCGCCGGGCTCGGCACCCCGCTGTCTGCACTCTTCCCCGGCGCAGCGCCACCGCCCGCCCTCCCTCCCCGCCGGCCTCGGCAGCTAGCCCGCGTGCTTCCGCCCCACTTGGGGCACGGGGGACCCTCCCGGGGCACCCCGCGCCTCACCGCTCCTCAGCCCCACACTACTCCCTTGCCCCGGCCCTAACTCGGCCGCGGCACCGCTTCGCTCGCAGCCCTTTCTGGGTCCGCGGCGGCCGCTCCGCCCCGCGCTTTCGTCCCGCACCCGGGCTGGAGAGCCACGGTGCAGTCCGCCGGCCCGCCCCGAGCACGCGAGGCAGCCCGACTCCCCGCTCCGCGGCGGGGAGGAGTGGGGACAGGCAGGGCACTGTGGAGACCCCAGCGCGGGCGGGGCGGAGCGGGGGGATTAGTTATGAAAGCCGCCCCCTCCTCATCTGCAAAGGCGCGGGTCTCCCACTACCCTCGCTTCGCTCCGCGCCCACCTACGCGGCTTTCCCTCCTCCAGTGCCTCCTCCCGTCCTGCCTCCCCACCTAAGCCGTCTTACTTCCACTTTCTCTATGAGGTTGTAAAGTCAGGCTTTGTGTCGCTGCTGCTGCGCAGCGGGGCGGGATTTCCCTGCCGCCCCCCCACCCCAAACCCCTCCCCCTGGCCCCCTCCTCTGCGCACCTCCCAGAGCATCCTGGGAATTGTAGTCCAACCGTGCCCCCCGTTTCGCCTCGTACTGCGGGCTGGGAGCTCCCCCACTCGCCCGGACGGGGTTTGCCCGGAGGAAGCGGCTGAGACCGCTGGGCCGAAAGGCGATTCTCGGCACCGGCTGGATGAGGTGGCCCGGAGTGTTCGGTAAAGTCCCGCGGTGAGAACTGTGAGGAGAATAAATGAGGCAAAGCCCTGAATGCCGGGAGCCTTCCCTGGGTCTCGACATGTATGCTTCAGGAAACCCTCTCCACGCTCAGCTCCTAGTTTAGAGCTGGAATTTGTGAAACTTCAAAAAATTAAAAAAAAACCCGAATCTAGAATTTGCCAGGAGACCGGGTAGTCCAACCCCCACCTCAGCCGGTTTGCGCCGCCCCGCCAGCTTGCCCCGAGGCTGCCGGAGAGGAACTTCCAGATTCCTCCATGGGAGTGAAGATGAAACAAGTAGTGAGTGGACATGCACTCGAGCCTCCTGCCGCGCCACATTCTCCTGCCACTTTCGAGCTGGGGGCAGGGTCCAGCTACACCACAGGCCTCCCCTCGGGTCGTGAAGGGCCTTTGCTGCTGGGCACAGGCGCTTCTTTTCCTCTCTGGAGCTTACGTTCGTTTCAACAAAACTTTACTGGGCATTTCCTTTGCACCAGGCACTGTGCGAGGGGCTGGACACGGCGACTTCTCAAAAGACCTCCCCGACAAGGTGGTTGCAATCCAATGGGGGACGGGAGAGGTAGCGACAGGCAAAAACCCACGTTTGAAAGTAATGACTGCGAGTAGAGGCTCCAAGGGTTGGGGGAAATTCAGCAGAGCCATACTGCATTTGAAAAGGGGCTGGAGAAGCTTCCCTGAAAGCTCTGGAGATCGAACTCGACCTTGCAACGTGGGAAGGTTGTAGAGGGTGTGGGGCCGAAGGAGCCCAGTGGGCAAAGTTCAGGCCGAGAGAGAGGTCGGTAAAAAGGCGCAGTGCAAGTTAAGAAAAAGAACACACGGTCTTGGCGGACGCCTGGGGTGTGTGGGTGGAGCTGCCCAAAAGAATATTAAAACCCAAAAGGATCTTCAGAAACACCCTATGAAGTTCGAACTTGATTCTGTGAGCAATGAGTAGCCCATCCCCAACCAAGTGCCAAGGTATGTTACCAAATTGTATTGATTGCCAAGGAGCAATACAATTGGAAACATTTCCCAATTCTTTCCCTGTTATGGTTCCTTCTGTTTGTTCACACTTGAGGCTATATCTAATGATTTTTAAGATTTTAGGTTAGATATATGCTAATCAGATAGTAGGATATTTTATTTTATTGGCAAAATTGATTAAGGTTTTGTTCTCTACTATTTCAAAGATTTATTTTCGAATAGGGTTTATTTTCTGGCTTTACTTTATTGAACACGGCAACTAATATTTAATTCACTAATTATTTGTTGAACACCTACTATGTGGCAGGCACTGTTCTAGATACTGGAATTTGGAGGTGGAAGCAGTGATTATCATTTGTTCTAAGAATAAGTCTAGAATTCTTATCAATAAAATACATACTTATCAATAAAATAGGTGATAGAAAATGAATTTAGACGTTGGAGATGCCAAGTACTTACTAGAAAATAGTAAGTAATATCTTTCCATATACAATTTTGTTTTTTAAAAAAGGAAAAGATGTACTTACAGATTCAAACAGATCAACTTTAAAATTTTTTTTCCTTTTTTTTAAGAAATCTCTCTACCCAGTGTTGTGGGGGGAGGGTTCAGATTCACACCCCAGAGATCAAGAGTCCCATGCTCTACTGGCTGAGTCAGCCAGGTGTCTCTCAAACAGATCAACTTTTGAAAAAACTAGAGAACTAGGGGTGCTTGGCTGGCTTAGCCCATACAGCAAATGACTCTTGATCTCCGGGGCATGAGTTTGAACCACCCCCCAACACTGGGTGTAGAGATTACTTAAAAATTTTTTTTAAATAAATTAAAAAACTAAAGAACTAGAAATTATTTCACACTATTTTCTCACACACCATTGTGTATTATGTCACATGCCATTCTATGTTGTCCAGCTTAAAAGCAAGGTATTTAGGATCCCCCAAGATATAGCAATATATCAGATTTTCATTTGTTATTTGTTACTATAATTCTGATATAATTCTGATAATGTCCTAATTATTTCCTCACAACACCTATACTCATGGGTCCAGACTGATTTGCTTGACTATAAAAATGCAATACACAAATCAAAACATGCTCAGCAAAACACAAAACTGATGCAAGGTAATTTTTTCCCATATCCAAACCCAACGTGCAATTAAAGTTACTACTCCATATTACTTTCCTTTCCTTTGTGAGCTTCTTTAAGACAAGAAGAAATTATTTTTCTTCGTTTCAGTACCTCTTCACAGTTTCCAAAGAAAACCTAGGTGTTGTAGAAAGCTGTTGTCAATGACTATGAAAAGCAAACCCATCAGCCAGCATTTTTCATTTGGCCAACTGCATAAACAGAACCGCAAAAACTAACTTCCTCTTGCCTAAACTGTCAGAAGCCGTGGTATATAACACCAGCTCTTGCGGTGGATCAGCTGACTACAGCAGAAGCCCCAGTCTCCTGCAGGTAGGAATTCTGAGGAAGCAGTCTTCCGTCCTTATTACCGTCTTGACTACATACACTGCTTACTGTCAGAAAAAGGGAAAGTGTTCTTCCTCCACCATTTCAATTCTGCTGGCCCATTTCTGTGGAAGCCCCGCAGAAGCCCTTCTCTATTGCTTCCCTTACTCTTTCCAACCTTCTACCTCAACCCCTCAGAAATCTCACCATGGCAAATGGACAGAACAATCATGAGGCCACAGGATGCTGTCCACACTTGGGAAGGAGGGGAGCAAACAGCTTCTGGGATCAGTCAGTTGATCAGCAATTCAAAGATCCATCAGGAAGGGGAATAACAAAAAGCAGAACACTTTTTACATCTAATACTAAAAAATGAAAAGTGCAGCTGTTATATCAGCATCTAAATCACTGCTATCAGCAAGTTGAAGAAATTAACTGTCTGCTGAGCTTTCAAACTTACTTCATAAGACTACCTTTTGCCCATTTGAAATTTCTTTCTGTCCTCCAAGTCTGGCTCTAACACTTACTTAAAACTGATTTTATCCATATCTTCCTAATTATTGGCTCTCTCCAATCCATTCTGCACACTGTAACCCCAGAGATCTTTGGAAGACAGGTGAAATCACTCCCCTGCTTAATGACTTCTCAGTAGCTTCTCATCACTCTTAGGATAAGTCCCAGATCTTGTCTTAGCATCACCTACAAGGCCCTGAGTTCCCTGACCCCTGCCTTCGTCTCTAGCATAAAGGTGGGCCTAGTCTCCCTCTCAGTCACCAAGCTCCACCCCACTGGCCACCTTTCCTCCCTTGAGTTCCCAAAGCTTTTTTCCCCTGACAGCTTCTGCACATGCAGCCATCTCCACTGGAATGCTTTCGTGGACTTTGCTATTCGTCCTTCAGATCTCAGCTTAAATGTCACTTTGTCAGATAAGATCAGGGCTCCCTGTTGTCCCGCTCCAAATAGCCCATATTAATTACATTGAGGCCACTGACGAATGATGTTAGTAATCACGGAGAACAGCAGAAGTCCAAAGGGACTGTAGATGATCTAATGTTGTTTTGCTTTTCAAAATGGGGAAGTAGGTGTATTCTAATAATCATGATACCAAAAGCATGCAAGTCAGAACTCTATTAAAAAGATACCAAAGGGAGTGCCTGGGTGGTTCAGTAGGTTAAAGCCTCTGCCTTCGGCTCACGTCATGATCTCAGGGTCCTGGGATGGAGCCCTGAGAGGGGCTCTCTGCTCGGCAGGGAGCCTGCTTCCCCAGCCCCCCTGCCTGCCTCTCTGCCTACTTGTGATCTCTGTCAAATAAATAAATAAAATCTTAAAAAAAAAATACTTGGGGCGCCTGGGTGGCTCAGTGGGTTAAAGCCTCTGCCTTCGGCTCATGTCATGATCTCAGGGTCCGGGGATCAAGCCCCGCATCGGGCTCTCTGCTCAGTGGGGAGCC